TTTTTAGGTGACACGACATATTTTTTGGTTATAGCAATCGTCAATGTAATGGTGCATCCGTTTTCACATCTGTTTGCACTTCGTTAGGCCTCCATCATTGAAAAAAAAAACATCCACTCTTCAATCATCAGTCCCTAATTTGGGGTTATTTTTAAATACAAACAGTAATTTTTAATCATTGTTTAGTTCACGTTTTTAGGGTTGGTTGACAAAGTCTAATAATGTGTCTCCGCTATGGTCTGCCTGTCACTCTTGATAGGAAATAGGTAAAACCAGCTTTTTATAGAAGGTGTATACCAGCAAAGATATTAAATTAAAGAAAAAAAAAACAGCACCACTTGCCTGCCTGAATATGCTTGTTGTTACCGTCAAGGATAAAACACCAAGTATCAAGTAGGTATTTATTTTATATCCACAGTGTATCTTTCGTATTTTAATTATAAGTACCAGTTTCAGTTGCCGCCGTAGCTTTTATTAGTGCTCTTATACGGGTGCATTATTAATGATAGGTACGGACTGGTTCTTGTCCAAGATACTAAAGGCTTAAACTGTTATTAACTGCATTGCCGATTATAAGGTACGCCTATGCAAGTGTGTATTTAAATCTAGTTATTTCTTCACAGTTACAGTTGCTACAGATAACACTTAAACCAACATTTAAAAGTCGTATCTTATGTCCACGGAGTATAAAAGGATTCGAAATGCCAAGAATACTTATTGAAAGAATATAATAAGTCGCACTTCATCCCTGTATAGAAAGTGTTTTTTTTAATGTAAAATAGGTGATGAAAAGCGGTCGCTATAGCCTGCAGTTATACTAGGGTACGTGAAGGAAAACGCCTGGGATTGGCCAAGACTAAAATGACATCACATGCTAGTTTACATTTACATAAAGTTTACATTACATTGTATCGTTTGGCGTTTTAATGACAGTCGTGTGACGTCACACACTAGTGAGCCGCCATAATTTCCAGAGAAACGTTTTCGCGGCAGTTTGAAAGTTGAATTTTTAATTTAGTTTTTTTACTGAATTACGCTTAGAGCATACTACGCAACAGAATTAAATATATCCACTTTTTATGGACTCCATAAACATTAGTAAAAACCGTGAGATCTTTTTCTGAAACTTGTCAAATATCCTATTCCACATTATAGTTAGCGGCAAACTTCTGTACAAAACCACACAAATAAACTTGTGCAGTAGACATTTTTGTATGTAATATTTCTACGGTATTTGTATGTAACATTTCTATTTTCTATTTTTCTTCCTTGTCTACGGTCGTTGCTCAAGATGTTTGCCGGGGTTTTATATCACTTTGTACCATTACCCACGCTAACCTGTTTCCTTACCGCGTGGAACCCTAGAATTTTTCTCAATGACAGAAACATAATACCATCAAAATTTATATATATGTTATTTTATTATGGTTTTCTGAAGGGATCCAATTCGAGCGGAAAATCTATTATGCCTTACCTCTTTTAAGTGTATTATTAAATGGTTAATTTAAAATTAAACCACTCCACTCCACGAATGATTTTAATTTAAAATATCATTAAGAGGATATGAACAGCACATGCCCGTTTGTTTATTTCTATAAAGCATTATGATTTTATGTTCATATCTATTAAGATAATTAAAATCATACTCATTAATTTCCGAAGACAATAAAACTGGAACTATTATTGTCCACATATAACATCGACCGGGGCGCATTTACTGAGAATTTATTCATTCTTTAAATTAAATTATATATTAATCAGTCAATGTGTATCTCGTTTCGAATTTTCGAAATTTAATCACCACTCTCATGTGGGGTATGTCATATAACCGGTTGATGGAAAAGTAATTAATTCTTCACAGAAAAGACCATTTATAAAATTTAAAGGTTGACAGTTTTAATTAAGAAGATTTATACGAACAGCTTCATTTTTACTCGGTGTATCATATCTAGCGGTATGGAAATAATTTAAGTACTATTATGTAAATTAAAGAACATATGTTGAAATTTATTTTACCTTTGCAACATTGCAAAAACTCTATATAAAACTATACAGTAATAACTAACACGTAATAATTATTATTAGAATAGATATTATGCTATTTACTTTAAATTTAAAATAACGCTTTCTATGAAATTTGATATAAGTTGAAATTAAATCGAAGCGCATATTATACAGCAAGTAAGATAAGACACCCACACCAAGTTCCAACTCGGCTGCATTTATAACAAAAACAGAACAACCAAACTACACAATGACGTTGAAACAAATGGCCTCCGCATTTAATTGAGTGTCATTTCCAAACTAATGGGCCAAAGATCAATCGGCTTTCTTTGAAAGCTTAATTATGTTTATTCGATGCCATTAATTCGTGGACCAGTTACTTTAATCGTTCCGCTTCGATCTAGTTAAGCCAATTCGAAAGTATTTTGTGAGATAGCGACCGCTTACGAGTGGATGGTAAAAGCTACTGGGCCTTTGAAAATAATGACGTCTCTCTTGATAGGCAGTAAAGACTTGAATATTTAAGGGACCCACCCGGTAGGTGCGCGGTTCTGGCAGAGATAAAAGGAACACGTGTGGAAATAATTAAGAACTTTGAAACGACGAATTGTATGGCGATGCAGCACGACCGATTAACTATATGAATATTCAAGAATCATTTACGAGACAAGCAGAGCCTCCAAAAGACTTAATCAATTGAAATTCCGCTCCAAGCTGCAGAGCCTTCCTTATTGCGCCAGAACAAATTTGGGCGGAACCCAATTACGTGAAGTGACTCTGCAGTAATAATCGATCAAAAAGAAGACCAGATTAAGCCAGGTGCTTCCGAATGAAAACTGCCGGGACCCTCCGCCGCGGAACGAATGGAGCATGTCAATCACTTTAATTAATCATTCAAACTGTTTCAATGGAAATTTTAATTCCATAAAAATCGGCTAAAACGTTCTCACGACATGCCCTAAACACACCTTGTCATTCGAGACGACAATGATGCCTCCTAATGCATTCTTAACGCATCATCGCGACCTCTGAACGCCTATAAATTCGGCGTTACTTGATACACCTCTGACATTTAATGGTTATCTTTTGAGTCCTGTAACTGTGACTAGGTAATTTACAAAATCAGAGAACTTTTTAAAGCCGTACCAAGTATAAAGATCGTTTAAAATTCTAGAACATGAACCTTTTTAACGACAGGACTAGAAGGTCGTGATTGGACACTAATTCCTTTGCAGGTGTTAAATGTCTCACAACCTTAAATGTCCTACCATTCACATGTCTTTGAGCTTGGAAAGTATTTCGCCTGTCAACCGAGTGTAGATAGAATTTATTGAAGACATTTATTAATGAATAGGGACTATTTCAAACTAGATCGACTGTGCCTGATGGTAACGGGATGAAGTTTGAAATTGGACCTAAAAGGGTTCGCTTTAAGAGTGGAATTGTATCGGCGGGTGAGCAGGGCGTTAACCCTGCATTCCTTGAATGTAGTGTAAGCAGTTACCTTGTAAGGTGACGCCCAGACAAGCGGTGACGATTCGCGACACCCACGGTCACTGTGGTGGCATCAGGCGTAGGTCCAGTACATATATCAATGGCGTAGGTACTTACTTATTAATGCAACCACGAGTGTTTAATTGAGTCACCTTGTTAGGTATATTTAGAAAAATAATATTAATATGGTAATGAACATTTATATGAGGTCATTTATCTCAACAGCTGATTACAGTAATAATTAAGTTCATTTATGAGTTACGGATCAGCGATTACCCATTGTCCTTACCTTAGAGACTGACAACATTTTTGGAGATATTCTAAGAAAGAAATTATTAGTAGATTTATTTCTCGGCGTCTGAAAGTTAATCAAATACAATGGTCGTCTACTAATGGTCTCTATTTATAACTGATTACAGTATTTTTTTCACTTACATATTTATAATTTAGCTAACTCATACGGTAATTTGAAACTATTCAAGTAAACTAATTTATGTCATAAATATCACAACTTCTAATGTACTGGGGAAATTTTAAGGTGATGTATGAAAATAAATAAAAAAATACAGTATTACTTATGTTTGTTTATTCCATAAACAAATTATTAAATTATATCATAACATTTCTGACTTGAGGGACTTTTTAAATACAACGCTACATACATACTCTTTATATTTAGGCACCTAGAGCTTTACAATGTATTATTCTAGTATCACAGATTCATTTTTTATAACAATAAAATACACTTAAAAAGTAAACATTTGTTGTAGTGTTTGTGCTACAATGTAGTTTTCAGTAAATTTTAGGTTCTTAGTTTTCTTAATTTCGTTTTGTAACATCGAAACATGTTAAAGAATAAATATTTCAGGAAAATATCTTCACTTGTTTTTTAATGACAATTCTAAGTCTTAGAAATACAAATAAATTTTATTGTGGACTACTCGTTGATATCAAAGCAAAATTATCAAAAATATTTCTATTTGAATTGCCAACCATGAATAAAATAATATTTCCACCTAAATATTTTTCCGTATTCGGCAGTCCGAGGATACATTATAAGTATATTTTTGTTTTGGAAAAAACTATCCAAGCTTCAAAATATACAAAGTGCTATTGATATAAATATTTACATTATATGAAAATACAATTTAATATCACAACCTAAATAAATAAAAACAAAATATGTCGCCTGCAATTAGCAAATGTAACTTTTGTAACATCAAACAGTTTACAATGTCAAGATAATTTTCGTTACACCTGGACTCATAAAAAAATTATAAACCATCTTGTTTCACTTAAAAATTATTGCACCAATTTAAACATTTATTTCACAATTAAATTTCGCCGTTATAAAGAAAAGTCGTTAAAGTTTCATAACGACCAATAAAACGTTTAAAAACAGATTCCTATAAAGTGAAGGAGATATTTCATCACAAGTAGTTCATTTGATAGTCAATTTAATAAAGCTTTTTTTTGTAAATATTTTCAAACAATATCAAGAAGTGCTTTAATATTTATTGAATTTTGATTTCTATCCCTCACTCTTAATTCATTAATGGTTTCATAGAAGTTTATGAACAGTGAAATGGCCACCAAATTGATAACTTAATCACTTAGTTTCTTGCTGAGAGGTTCTTCGCTATCTTGGACAGAACTTGAACTGGGGGAACAGAAAACAATGCAGCGATAGGAATCTGCAACAAATATATTAGGTAAGTGATAAGATGACATCACCGTAGAAAAGTTATACGTAGATATGAATACTTCATTGAGGAAAAAACCCTTTTTTTAGCAAAGGTTCGTTTTAAAATAACAGTATTAAGAAATAAATAAATAAATAATAAATAAATAATATCAGATCACTTTAAACTTTAAGTTTACTGTTGACATAATAATGACTTGTATGAAACGATTATCTTTTTACATTTATTAAGTTTAGCATATACCTTTAATATGTTCCTTTATGTTAAGAAACGATCGGATCCAAATCTAAATATTTAGATAGCAAAATAATTATTAATAAATCCCGGAGAACGTAACACATACCAATTAGTTGGTCCCAATTAAGCAGAGTTTCTGCCAAAATGGTGGAAATTCAAATTTATACGAGCTTAACTCTGTACTAAATACTTATGTAGAAATAATCAGGAATTGGAACCCAGTGTTTTTAGCATCTATTAGTAGTTGATGATGAAAGATAGCTCTGCAAAAAGTAAGTATTTACAGACAAATGAAAACGAGAATGACAACTACACACAGTGTTGCCAGGTCTGGAAAAAATCGGGATGCGTTATAGAACCCCCCTCCCCCCCTAGCATTGGAAGATCAAAGCAAGATATAAGCCAGTAATGAATGTGTTTCTGTGGCTTCTCGTGTTTTTAGACAGTAACATACTAACATTAATTTTATAATAATTAAGGTTACCTACATTATTAATGGCAGAAAATGCAACTCGACATGCAATTTAAAAAAGGAAAATCGTATTATAAGAAAAACAGTTAGATTCATGTAGAAAAACAGAAAAGGAGATCTGTAAAATCTGGAGACCTGGCAACGCTGACTACACATGAAAAAAATAAGGGCTCATTAAAGTCGTGAGCAGATTTTTAAGGACAAAGTAAAAAAAAACATGCTCTTACCGACTAGGATCGTATCGGGTATCGAATCCAGGCACGTCGACGACGTTCCACTCGTCTTTCGCTTTCGCGTAGCTGAATGAAATCTGCTCCCGGAACGATTCCGGGGGAAGAAGCTTCATCTGTTCTAAGTGGGAATGGAACTCGTTCACTAGAGTTAAATTCTTCTTCATCAGGTGCTCTGTAAGAGAAGATACTGTTTAGAGTACCTGTTAATTCTACAAACGATCTTTAAGGAGACAAAGAAAAAATATATCTGATATGTTGAGGAGATAACGGCGCAATGGTTGCGAGTTCATTCTGCGAAGCTATCGCAATGGCTGGTTTGCAGTCCCTATCACCTACCATGGCCCATTCTCCCTATTCAGATATATAATCAAAACAATGCAAAGTGAATGGGTTAAGGGCAGCGGGTTTTAAATGATTATTTTTGATTAACTTTCAACCATGCACTCCTACTAAATTACAGTAAATTGATCGAAACCATTTTATTGGATATTGAAAGACCATTATTTATAATTAAGAATCCATAAGTATGTCAGACTCTTATAATAATTATGATTTAAAATAAATTGTTGTGAGGATAACGTAATTTCTGAATCACTCACCGATTATGAAGCCCATGGAGACGTCATCTGGCAGTCGGATCTTCTCGCAGATGCTGATGAATCTGCCACCGCTGCAAGGAAACGAATCAATTAGCACCACATTGACCGTATGGACGATTAAAAAGTTAAAACAATGTCAACAGCAGCCATACCTCGCAACAGGTAACATTTTCAACGCCAAACTTCTGCTTATGCAAAACCCGGCGCCGCCAGTGGCGAACCAAAATGAGAACATCAACTGAAACAAATTAGAAGTGTCATCCGAAAGCTCGTATACTGAATTTCATCGAAAACAACAGGTTACGTTGTGCTTTAATTATAATTAGTCACTCTTTTCTCCATTGTGCTGAGAACAAGACCTTTCCAAAGGCTGTAAGGATGTTATCGTATCTTATTCAAAATACTATAAAAACTCACATTATTTTTTTATTTCTTAAAACTTAGGCATACCTTCAACCTTTTAAACAGTAAGTATATATTTATTATAAAAAAACCGTTAAGCAGGGATCGACCCGATAAGGCGAATCTTTTGAGTTTTAACCAGGCAGACGATCCTTAATATTTGGCCACTTTGAAATTACCTCATTAGTTGGCTTCTTATAAATCTGGACCGGTTCATTCACCGATGTTCTGCCGAGATACCAATCTTCCTGATGATTATATTTCTGCAGCGCAACGACCAACCGGGGAATGTTCACATAGTTGTCGTCATCGAAGTGGCAAAACCACCTGGTGAAAAAAAAATAATACCTTTAACACGGTCGCGCAACACAAGCTTCATGAGCCTCGGAAAACTTTATTATAAGGACGAAATAAAAAAAAGAACATCAACAACGCATCGAACAGAAAATTAACGCAAAACATCGCCCACCGTCCGTCGGCATCGGTCGACCGGTGGCCATTAATTTCAACTGTCTCCAGCAAAACGAGCATATAAAAACCAGAAAAGTTATCAGCTGCCTTCACCGATGTGTGTGTTAAAGAATATAATTGCAACATTGTAAGGAGCGGTTATAATAAAACCGTCGCGTCGGTAGTCTCGGTCGCTCGGTTGTTGTGCCAGCGATAATAATTAAACGCCGTAGTGTAATTTTGTGGTATTACTCTCAGCGCAAATAACAGGAGCTGCGCCAGCGCAAACCGTGACCACATATTGCAAGATGGCGTGCGACAAATGGTACTGCGGTGCCGATATACTGGGTCAGGTTTCTGGATATCAAATTTGCGTTTGCGCAATTACGATCGGCGACTAATAGGTGCCGTTGACAGTTGCCGTATCAAAACAATTTAACGTTCCATTTTATGGTGCAATCGGTTTGTTTTGAATTGACCTGCATATAATTTTTATTCAAAATATATTATAGGTAATATATACATGTTTGTAACCTTCGATAGTAAAGTTATATAATCATAGTCTATCTTAATGTGCCCGTCAATGTTGTAGGTAAAAGCATAGTAACGGCTGCGTTGTCTACTCTAAAAAAATACGGTTTCGTATGTTACTTAGATATATGAACAAGCAATGACTCAAGAAAAGGTATTCTTCTACAAATGACTGTCCATACCTCGGACGGTCGACATAAAACGGATTACATGAACATAGAGCTAAATATCAAGATGAGAAATTACAAGAGTGGATACTTTTTTTATATACAAAACACGATGACTTGCTTTTTAACATTAAATTATAATTAACAACTTGCAGTTTTTATTTTCATATTGATTTAATAATATAAATTAAGACTTTTCAAAAAAAACTAGCCAATAAATTTATTCAATAAAACATTATCTTTATGCAATAAAGAAAAAACAAAAAAACAGTTCAACTGAAGAGTTTATAATATTTTTTTTTATTTGTATTAAAGTTCACTTCTTGCCAAACTTACAGCGCTAATACTAAAACTGCTAAGTGGTCTTATTGTAATGCAAAAAACAACTATTATGTATAAAAGCAAAAAAATGACATGTCTCATCTAGAATGACTTTGTAACTTTGGAAAGGGACTCTTATCTAAAGCCGGATTCTCCCTCAGGACCAATATAAAGAACTGCTGTTACCTGGTCGATCGCTATCAAGTACGGCTTGATCTAATTCAAACATCATAGCTATCTAAGTTAATAAACCCACCGTTTCATAACGATTGTGAAAAAGTGGATTGTTTGTATTTTTATCTAAGTTCAGTGATGCATGACTCCATGAGAGGGAAAAGTCTAGTTCAGGTTTCAAAATAATAAAAACAATAGTACCTAGCCTTATCCAGAAATCTCAATTTAAACTCAAATATATTAAATATACTCTATTTAACCACATCTGATACAAAAGGGGAACAAACCAAAAATGGTTTTTTAATCGGAATTTAATACGCATATAAAAAAAAAGTGATATTAAAAAGTCCTAAAACTGTAGCTTTTTACAAAATCTGGACGCATTTTAATTCTACGAAATCAAAGAGCAGTGATTATGCAAATATTTTAGTAGAAGAAAGTAGAAATCTGAAATTTTGTAATCATTATTGATATTAACGGGATTGTTACCATGTACCTTGTTTTTTATGAGTCTCCGATATTTCGGCACTGTTGCAAGCGCCATGATCACGGAGTAACTGTTTTGTAATCAGTCTGATGGCATCGGCCATCTTTACTCTTGATAAGAAAGTTTTAGAAACATTGGTTTATTTGTTTACCTTTCATCTCAGGGGAAGTTGAATAGATTATAGTAATTATTACTACAATTGTATTTAAATAAATGACAACTTCAAAGAAATCTTAAAATTTTCTTTGTTTGAATATTCACTAAACGCAAGTATCCACACATTCGCGTGTACAATATTAAATGATGAGTGTGTACCTATTATTAAATAAATCTCGTATTCCGTTCCCGGGCGTAGGTATTTAATAAACAACCACTGTTTGATTATCTCAGAAATACAACCCCCGTTTGGAAGTGAGTCAAAACATAATTTCTCCAGGGAAAAAAACAAGAGAGGCCCAACAAAAACATTCGTCGGGACTGTGTAAACGCGTGAAAATCATTGTTGGCCCAACAAAATATTGGAGTAGCACTCGAAAACGCATTACGTTTGTTATGTCCGTCCCTGTGTCGTCCGACCACAGATTAAAAAGCTTTTTACTCGACTGATTCAGAGCAGGTGAAGTTCAATGCGTTATGTGTTCGAGGATATCCAAGAATGTGTCTACTAGATATTATTGAAAACAGGTATTTTGTGGAGATAGGAGATTTCGGAACATATTTTTGTACACAGAGAGAGAGGGCTATTAAACACCTAATTATATTAGAAAAAAAACGTGTTATTTAATTATTATGATGAGTTAACAAAGTATCAGCTATGTCGCAATATTCCTTTAAAAGAGAAAGCATTAATCCTACTTATTAAAAAAACCTTATTACCTAGCAAAATGTACATTATAAACATAATTTTGAATCTTCGTATTTGTACCTAGGTGTGAAATTTCATTATCTAAATATTACGATGCACTCAAAATAAAATTTTGCTTGCATTACCAACTCAAAAAATTCATTACGAAACCACACGTCCAAAATATTGAATGTCGTAAAAATGGTAATAAGAGAACGCAGACGTAAGGCTGAACAAACAAAAATCTGTGCGACCATAATAATATGATCATTAAAATCTTTAAACAGAATTCCAGAGTAAATATTTGTGAAGTGAAGCTTTTAAAAACAGAAGTTAGGAGCGTCTTGTTTTTAGTATAAACTGAATTCGGTAAAGAATCACTTTGCATTTAATTAATTAAACAAGGCATGTTTTAGCTTATTAAAAATAGTAATGAAGAAAAATTATACAATACCCATTTTTTTCTGCAAAATTAACTTTGAATTTTTATGTGAAGCAGGTTTATAAGAATTAATTCTTGAATGTATTTTATTTTGGCGGCTGGGTAATCGACTGCCCTTGGGCTGACTCTATGATTCCGCAATGTTGGTAAATGTACTGTAATTAGCAATGGTTTTTTTATTTTAAAAGATCACCAGGATATCTCCTACTTTATTATCAACTATGATTGTTTTACCTCTGATATATCTCGTAAACAAACAAACTAATCGTTTCGCAGTTGATGCAACTACTTTGAACCATAATGATAAATCTCTACCGTGAGTGACGAAGTGACTAACAGTCATTTGTTTTAGACAAAATTTGTTTCATTTCGAGGCTGTAAGTATGTCGGCCTCAAACAACTTATGAGAAACAATAAGCAATAAATAACGTTACATCGTCAACAAATCTAAACATACTATGATCGTTTGTAACTGGGTTCGTTTTATTGCAGCTAAGAGCGTGATAAAAATCAGTTACATCTGATGGATGACACCGTGTTCGCAGTTAAGAAAAAAAATGCGACTACAGATACATTTAAATTGGTCCTTATCCGATTGAGATTCGGTTGCAATTTGCTTTTCCTATAACAGCCCGTAGTCGAACGTATTTTGCAACAAAATTTGAAATTGTTGTAATGCTGAACAAGCAAAACACCAAAGGCAGCGAATGAAAACAAATATTTGACAACTTTAATAAAATTGCTGTTTGCAGACGCAGCCATTTTTATAAAGTTGTTCAAAGTGCAAAAAATATGTACATGTGTGTGTACATGTATAATATGATGAATATTTTTTGTATACCTAGTGAATAAAGTTAATAAAATTGTGAATATTGTTAGAAATTTTAGAAAAAGATATATCAAATGAATAACAGAAAGCTTATTGAGGTAATGGGTAAGCAAAGCTGGGGGCATATGGATTATGGATTCGTTATATTGTAGAAAATTTTCATAATTACGAACTAAGATGAATGACATAACATATATTATACCTATGATAATAATAGTGCTATTAGCCAACGATATTAAATACCCTAGATACACCAACACGAACAAAATCGTACCCGAAACCTGTCCAAAGAGTACATTGGACGATCCACGGAGCTCCGTAAGATGATAGCGTTGTCAAAAACAATATAAGACATTATTTAACCATTGAAAGTCCCCTTTAATGCATACTGTATAAAGTTTTAATTTAAATGCATGCGTCAAATAGTTATGACAGTCCGAAACGCAAGCTTATCAAATGTTACGACTTATTGCTATATGCGGAAGAATATAGCCCTTATTTCTTTGATTCTAGGTGCAATTCTGAATGCGCTGTAAGCAATATAGCAGGTACGGACCGTCAGAAAAAAGGGCTAAATTTATACCATCTTAATTAAGCCATGCATTTGAATATCACAAAAATAATTTCTATTAGTTTAGTTTATAGTAAGTATTAGAACAAAATTTGCTTCAAATGCATTATATTCACTAACATTGGTTATATACCTGTCGAAAAACGTCACTTTACATACTACAAGTATTTTTAACATTATTTCACGGAGTTTAGCGGCACGTGACTTTTCAACGGTCCGCGCGTGACTGTGAACCAAGAAGTGCTTGTTTGGAGTTCAAGCATTTCTTGATTAGGACACACTTTGAGGGGACGTGGTGTATATAATATCGTTGCTATTAGCACTAAAGTGAACCTATATTGCTATCGGTGTCTTTATACTGTACTATTTAGAAGACATACTCGACTTCACATGGGTGCATCATTACGCTCATCCATAAACTGATAAGAAATTGAGAATTTTCCAGCTCTAAATTTGTAGTGGATTTCCAAATCAAATCTTTGAATTTTCTAAAAAAAGATCCATGGCGTAATATAACGTTTGTATTATTAATGAGAGTTTAAGTAAACTAAGCTGGCGGACTTAATTGTTTTGTTAGAGCAAGTTGAGAAACTAAAGTCGTGATTGAAGAAGAGGACAACCGGTATCTTCTTACTAAATAAATAGATTGTACAGAGATTCCAGTTACTTATCAAAGCACAAATTTCTACCGACTGGCACGCGACGAACGACGAAGCACGTCGCAGGAGTAAACATTACATAGCAGAAATATATATACATAAAAGAAATTAAAGATATGTGCACTAGTTTTATATCACACTAATATTATAAAGGCGAAAGTTTGTGAGTGTGTATCATCATCATCATCATCATCAGCCTATTAATGTCCCCACTGCTGGGGCACAGGCCTTCCCTATGGATGGAATTGGCAGATTGGGCCATGACCCACTACGCGGGCCCAGTGCGGATTGGTGGGTTCTAACGACTGCAGATGCAGCCGGGACCAACGACTTAACTTGCCTTCCGAAGCACGGAGGAGTTCGATATAGTAATTTTTGGTCACCCATCTGACCGACCACTGCGAAAGTTGCTTAAGTTCAACGATCACAGCCGAACGCGCTAACCACTTGCGCCATCGAGCTCCTCTGCTTATTTATTTGCCAAAAAACGAAAATTTGTTTGTCTTTTTTTTGTCAAAGTGAAAATTTGTTTTAGTCGGTCCCACGAAGGAAGGAAAAGATGTCAAATATTACATTATATTTAAAAAATGATTAATGTATTCTAACTAATATTATAAATGTGAAGAATAAGTTTTTGTGTTTGTTTATTGCTCAATCACACAAAAACGTCTGAACGGATTTGGATGAAATTTGGTTCACATTTAGTTTATGTTCTGGAATGAGAAGTAGGATACTTTTATCCCTGAAAATAATAGGTTCCTGAGGGATTTTCCAAAAACGAAAAAAAAACGCGATCGAAGTCGCGGGTGGCGGCTAGTAAACGCAGAACGAACGTAGATTTATAGGTTCGTATTCACTACCGCTTTACGTTATTATAAATAATATTTGTTTTATATTGTACTAATGGATACCAAATTTCATCTTTATCGGTTCAGCGGTTTAAGCGTGACTAGGTAATAGACAGAAAAACAGAGAAACAGAAAGACAGACAAACACACTTTAGCATTTATAATTTTAGTACGTGGAAATCTACTGGTTATCTTTTCTACTGCTTTGCAAAATTTATTCTGTCACGCTTCGACGCACGCTGCCACGTCACGACGAAACATTTGATTTTTATATCGTATGTGTTGTGAGAAATCGTACTTGTAAGTGCAAGATTACATAATGACAGGATGATATCAGCTTACGCATTTTTATAGCAGAAGCTCGACATCCGTAATATCTTTAGATTAGGAGAACTTTTCATGTCATCATGCTAGAGAATGTTTTGTAATGAAAATATTTCTTTTAAAGTCCCCCGATTGCATAAAGAAATATACTTACATTCCGTCCTATTTAAAAGTTCACTTATTTGTTTACTGTTTAGTTAATTCTTTTTTAAAGGGCTGTCGTGTTTTAATTTCTTTATTATTTACTAGCGGCCCCACGCGACTGCGTCCGTCTCAACTTTAGTTCTTTTGGGAATACCCCGGGAACCTTATTTTTTTTTCAAATTAGAATTACCATATGTTTTGATCCAGGTTATAAACTATATCCGTACCAAATTTTATGAAAATCCGATCAGTAGTTTTTTCGTGATTGAGTAAGAAACATACAAATACACAAACATACTAACTTTTTTATTATATTATTAGTAGGATTTCTTAAAAAATTAAAGACCTGTACCCTTAGCACGAACCATTTGACAAATTTGACATTGAAATTTTGCACTCGCAAACTATTCGAATTCGATAATAGTTCGTGCTAGGGGCACTTAACGTATGTTATGTTCACTTAGTTTGAAGTTTATAAGCCGTGTAACGTTTCCTTTAGGCTAATTGTAGCAAAGTGATCCAAGTCAGTCATAATAACAGGGCCGATTAATAAACATCCATCATTTCGTGTGTAACAACAAACTTGCTTTGATTGCGTTATAATTACTGAGATCTGTCATTGTGCTGATGGACCAGGTAACGCGATAGAGTTTGTAATTATGAAGCATCAAAGTTTTACCCATACCAATTATTAGCTAGATGTCTGGGAATACGTGGAACCATTGCGATGCCATTCTCATACATTAATTTTGGACGTTGAGTCGTTAGGTAAGTATTTGCTTGAAATTATGTATCATTAAGAGCTGGTTCTGATTTTAGAGGAATAAAAAATAAGTATGAAATTTTGTTCAGAATTCTGTTCAGACTATTTTATAGAACTTTTTAAGAGATAAAATTCCATTACACTTAAATAATTTTTGGGTAACTTTAACCGTTTACGCAGTACACGCAATGGAAGCTCGCAAATGGAATATTTTTTCGCGTTTTTGCTACATTTTTCATCAATGCTCTGCTCCTTTTGGTCGTAGCCTGATATTACATACCGAGCATATAGCCTACCTCCTTAAATGTACTGTCTAACACAAAAATATTTATTCAAATCGTACCAGTAGTTTCTGAGTTAAGCCCGTTTAACCAAACAAACATACAAATTCTTTAGCTTTATAATATTTCTATAGTATGGAATATATTCTGAACATTAATTAGGTACTTAGGTATCATAAATACTTACTTTTTGCCGCTTTCCAAGAAGTGGTCGTATTCTACGGACATTTTGCAACAGAGATGTTTTCGTTGGTGGGATGCAGAACAGTTTGTGTTCACCATATGGCCATCTGAGTAAAGAAAAACAAACCTTAGTAACTATAGTCGTACTCTCCGATTCGTAAATATGAATTCGGTCTCATGATATATTGCGAACGACACGATTTGGAAGATTGTTTTTTTGTTCAGATAATTGTTGGGATAAGATTTGTATAACGTATTATTACGTATTATTAACCATAGAAATAAAGCAATAGTGATGAAAATTGTATTTAGTTCATCATTTACATCAATGAACCAAAATTACAAAGATAAAGCGCGTTGAAGTTTGAAAGTGGGGATGTCAATTCTTCTTCTAAGTAAAAATTTAACCGAGACGTGACGTCATGTGAAATGTCACATTAAATCAATATATTTCTGTAAGCTGTAACGTTTTGATTATGTGGATAAAGAAAAAATACGTGTCCAAATACTTTTAGATAATCTACCTGATAAACGAAGAAAAAAAGTTAATAATCATCCTCATTTATTTATTTCTGTGATAAACGCTATTCCTGAGGGGTAAATCGCTTTGACAAACTTAACGATTGTTATGAAGAATGAGATCAAAATATTTGTGCGCATTGTCTGTCGAATGAGGCACAATGGACGTTTAACAAACTTACTGGTTTGATTTTGGTGTTGCCGGTTCTCGATGTCTGTGAAAAACCAGATCTGAAACAAAAAGTATGAAGATTAGTTACTTATTTATTTCTTTTGTTTTCACGCACACCACTGATTTAATAAAATACTTTTTCAACAAACACACGACTATTTTTCGAGTATGGAGCAGTAAGTAGTCAGTGGGTGGAGTATAGAGTCCGAAACATTAAGAAAAATTAAAATAAATTTAATAAATCATGCTTTATATCCGTTCAAAAAAAATTTTTTTTTTAGATCAGTTATCTATTTTCTTTTATTTTATGAGTTTAATTGTTTGATGTTTAAATCTAAATAAAATTTTACTGGAATAAATTCACTCGGTCCAGCACTTTTCACGGAATTCGCCTCGAAAAATTTATTTGTAATTAATTCGTTTTCTAATTTTAAATCACACCGCGGATTCCATAGTGAAAATTGAGTTTCTTTCTACAGAAAAGCACTGCTGTTTTCAGACGGGATTCGAACCCGCATCTTCGGCTCAAATTGTTTCTGCTCGAATTCTCTTCGATCGATCTCGTCTAAATCCTAGACCGAGTGTTTTTTTTAAATAACATTTTTCTCTTGCTGTTATTTCTCGAGTGATTGGTGAAAATAACCATAAGCTGTGTGTGATACATCTCCTATAGAAGGCCATTGGTGTATAAGTATTTGAAATGTACAGTGGTTATTTCAAATGAAAAAATATACTTGTATTTTTCAAGCTTATAAGTCTGATAACTCAGAGCTAGTGTACCTACAGAGAATGGTAAAAAGAGATTAACAAGAAATATATAATTTCGAAGTTGCGATAGTTTGAATTTACTTTGACATTTAATATTCTTTGAAACTTACATATTTTAGAAATTCTTAAGTTGCTTAATGTTGACACAGCATATTCAATTACCTCACTTTTTGTGATGTCTTTATTAACAGAGGGAAAATTTATAATATCAGACTTATTATTTAAATAATAATAATAATGGTTTTCGTTATTTTATATTAAAAAAAACCGGACAAGTGCGAGGCTGACTCGCTCACCGAGGGAACAGTACTTTGTAGGTGCTCAACATAAACGGCCGTTTTTTTACGTTATCTTAAAAGATATTTTTACAGCTTCAAGGGATTGGAGATTTTAGCACCTATATAGTTTAAATTCGATACCTCCACGCGTTCCCGAGATACCTTTATCTCCATTGACTTGGCAGACAGACGGAAAACAAAGTTATCCTGTAATGGGTTCTGTTTTTTCTTTCACCCTACCGTACCTTACCATACCTTAGTAGAGAACCCTAAAAACTCATAATAATAATATAAAAAAGACAACGAAATATGGGGAGAAGAATAAAAAGTGAAACAATATTAGAATTTCAGTAAGTGAACCGAAACTTGTGGAACAAAAGGGAACAAATGAATTACAACCTCATTTTTTGACAGTGGCACTCTGACACTTTTCCGGGACGGGTCGTATTCGCTTTACCACCAAGTAAATAAATGAAATATACAAGTGGGGTGCTCTTTAATATCTTGACTTGGCACACGCGAAAAGAAATTGCATAAAGAGCCTCCTATTCACATGAAAATGTTGGGTTCAAATTTTTTTCGTACCCTGAACGTCTCAAGATGAAGGCTTTTACGTGTTTATGTGAATATTACACTTTCTGCGTACAATCTTTAGTGAAATATTCTCAAGCATGAATGGAATCTAATAAAATAGATGTGACTATTGGTTTTGTCTTATAAAGGTTAGCCATGAAATGGAAAAATGATGAACATATATAAAACCAAGTTTGAAATCAGTAGTCAAGTATTTTTCTTTATAGTGTTTCTTTGAATAATAAAAAAGTGTTTATTTACAGAAGGCGGTTGGCCTTTGGTTGGCCTACTTTCTTGTTTTTCTTTATCCATATTTCTTTCTGAATTGCTTGTCTGTTACAAAATATTTTTAATATTTATTGATTGGGTAAGTTTGTAGTGGTGTATACAATTTAATTATCTCAGACTAGTAGATACCCCGATTTTGCCTGAATGGAATAACTATTTTCCTATACAAAATACAATCGCATACACCATACAGGTTTTGTTTTCACGACAAAAAGTAGAGGCTATGTTAATCTTCAAAGTTTCCTTTATCGTCAGATTTAAACAAATTCGAATCAGCAATATTGGTTCGAAATAGTAACAGGCAACGTTATCATCACATTCTTAATATGATGTAATAGCTTTGACGTTACAGAACGACTCTTCTAACATTAAATAACTGTATAAGTTAAAAGAGTGTTTCATCAAAAGGTGTGCGTGCGAAAACAAAATAAATAAATAGCTTTGGCACAATAATTTAATATATACAAATTCTACGCTTTCATTGCTTTCTCTAATAAACACCGCAGTATTTTTTCATGTTTCAACAAAAGAGCAGCACGTTTTGGGGCGAGCAACGTGATAAGCCTCACGATTTTATCTGCTGTCCATTTGTAGAGTGCACTCTTAAGAAAAATCTTTTCATTATGTCAAGGCTGTCCACTCGTTCATTCATTCAACTGCTTCAACGATACTTCTCGGAAGCAAGTCTTCGAGTGCTTTCAACATAGGATATAATATTCGCTTTCAGCACGTACATTTTTTTTGACGGGATTCTAGGAGTAAAAGACTTGGGTAATAGAAAAATTTGCAGTTAGAATTTGTATCGTATTGGGAAGCAGACTATTAAAAATATGTCAGCCCTCAAATCTTGTCATTGATTGGGTCTCAGTTATTGTATGAACGAAATACACACGATGCTATCCTGTTAACTGACGCTAGAAAATTAGCGATCTATCTGTTAATATTTCACTTCAGCATATTATTAAATATTATATTTATGATTTTATTTATTTTTTAAGCATTTAACTGCTAGATGTTTAAATCTAAAGAAAAGTTTACTAGAAAAAAAATCCACGCGGGCCAGGCAGCGGACGGGACTCGAACCCGCATCCTTCGCTATCCGGGCGAATGCACTGAGCATTATGCTACCACGGCCCTATTAGCCGCGTCGAAATTTTCCTAGCCTTAAGCTGCAAGCCAGCGCCATCTCTTCGCATTGTAGGTAACCCACAATGTCAAATGAATACTTTTTCAAGTATTAAACATTTGAAAGAAGAAATAGCAATTATAATTATGATTTTATTTATTTTTTAAGCATTTAACTGCTAGATGTTTAAATCTAAAGAAAAGTTTACTAGAAAAAAAATCCACGCGGACCAGGCAGCGGAAGGGACTCGAACCCGCATCCTTCGCTATCCGGGCGAATGCACTGACCATTATGCTACCACGGCCCTATTAGCCGCGTCGAAATTTTCCTAGCCTTAAGCTGCAAGGCAGCGCCATCTCTTCGCATTGTAGGTAACCCACAATGTCAAATGAATACTTTTGCAAGTCTTAAACATTTGAAAGAAGAAATAGCAATTATAGTTATGATTTTATTTTATTTTTTAAGCATTTAACTGCTAGATGTTTAAATCTAAAGAAAAGTTTACTAGAAAAAAATCCACGCGGACCAGGCAGCAGACGGGATTCGAACCCGCATCCTTCGCTATACGGGCGAATGCACTGAGCATTATGCTACCACGGCCCTATTATAGTCGAAATTTTCCTAGCCTTAAGCTGCAAGGCAGCGCCATCTCTTCATAATATTATATTATTGAATATGCTGAAGTTCGCATATTTCAATTTAGGTTCATGATTCCTTACTCAATAAAGTTAAATCGGATGAACGTATTTGAATTAAATTTGAAACAAAGATGCCTTATTTATTATTAAATGGAATTAATAATCCGGGGATTATATGAATTTTGAAGTCCACCGGGGATTCTATGAATTTTGAAGTCCACGCACTGACAATCGCGGGCAAAACTAGTAAAACATAAGTTTTCGTGCTGAGAATTCACTGAATGACTTTCAACGGATAATAAAGGGTCATTCAATGTTTCATAGTCACAGTATTAGCGTTAAGGGTGTGGCAACCGCAATCTTGACATTTGTTGACATAACACACCCTACTAGCATAAGTATATACCTTTGTTAAGCAAATATACAAAGATACGTAGCATATAGAAAGGACAATAATGATCCTTAACCGCCTTAACCACGAAGTCATAAATCGCGCCACCTTTGTTCTGTATGAAATTGATTCGCTACAATTTCGATCGAATGTAATTATTGTTATTATTTTCCATTATAAGTTATAATAAGGAAGAATCTTATGGCTTACATACCAACAAAAAGGGCAAGCGTAGTTGGATTATGACCATTATCGAAGATGTTCATGGTTTTAAATATGTTGTTATTTAGTCATTCGTCTGTGTTCTTGAAGATCTCTGACGACACGCTTCGCATAGGATAGGAGCAAATAATTATAAAGTTGAGACTTTGTTTGTTTGGTTGAATGCACTTATCTCAAACACTACTGGTTCTATTTGAAAAAAAAAAATGTTTTGGATAGTCCATTTATTAAAGCAATGTATAGGCTGTATAAATGTTGCAAAAACTGAAAAAATAACTTTTAAAAGCCTCCGTTGCGTGTGGTGCGTAAAAGGAAAAAATCATAGTCCCAGAAGTCACAGCAGAATATGTCTCACTTTTAAGGTTGCAGTATAAACTTTTTCTTCAAATTAAATAATAAATAAATATTTCCAACACTCACACCAATTAGCCTAGCCCTAAAGTAAGCACTGTAAGGCTTGTGTTATGGGATTCTAGGGTAACGGATAGAATATATATACTGTACATATATAAGCATTTTTGATGTGTAACATCTTTCCTCTCGCTTTCCTGCAATTTGTAGGAGTGATTTCGTGAAATGGGACGGAAGTGTGTAACAGGAAGTCGCGCTATTAGATTTGGTTTGAGAAAATAATGTCCAAATGGCTTATTCTTACTTTTTACTAATATAAGGTAAGGTTTCAAATGTTACACATCATACGCGACTACTGTAAGGCTCGCTTGGTTTTTTTTATAGAGAAATACATATTAAAAATCCATAACTGGAGTACAAATGCTCGTATTCATCACACAAACATCTGCCCTCACCGGGATTCGAACCCGGGACCTCTCGAGTCGGCGATACCATGAAACCCGGCGTACGAACCACTCGACCACCAAGGTCGTCAAAACAAAACAAAAATAACGTTAGAAAACCGCTAGTAAATATCAAATCAGAGGAAAAAAGCAAATAAATTATTATAATTTTTAATGACCTCTTCTAGATGCAACTGAATCTTAAACCAAGTCGACAAATAGCATTAGATTCGCCTCGCACACCCCAGTTCGTTCACGACATGTTTGGGTTGCGTGAGGGTTGATTAGGTACTAAATCGCATACTTATTGTTAAGGGAATAGAAACCGCAAGTTTTTTTTTTCTTTTCCTATAGACGTAGTCTCTTGTCTTATAAATTATGTGGGTTGATATGTTTATTTTGAACGCGTCATTCATTTTGGTATTGCTGAGAGTTTTGGTTCATATTTATTTGGTAAGATTTGATATATCCTTGTTTTGAAACCGGTATTTAGTTTTTTGAACTAGTATAAATAAAACACGCTTAAACCGTTCAAAATGCGTCTCGTTATTACTTTTTGACATTTCGCATCCTTTTCAGGTTGCATCATCAAAATAAAAAAAAAATAATACTAAATATTTTTAGTGTTTCATTAAATGAGTAGTGTGCGTAAAACTGAAGAAACAAATATCAGAAAAAAATCTCGCACATTTCTTACGCTGTGAAATTTCATGGAACCATGTGATATAAATATTTATAAATGGCAGGCCCTTAAAGTCTAAGGTAATGTTTTAATTTTGTTATCTTGTAAAATTTGATTCGATAAAATATTTGATAGGTTTTGATTTTCCTAACCTGGGTCGTGGCAAAACAGATTTTCAGAAAAGAGTTATGTATTAATTGACAAAAATATAAGCAAAATATGGATTTATCTTTAAAAGAGTACTTACTTGTCTAAAAGCACAAAAGATCAAAATCAGAAACTTTTGTTTCAAGTAATTATTTCATAACAATTGACCCATGTAAAGAAGGTGTCAGATTTCATAATAACAAAGTTTGTCAAATCCGTTGACTTCTAAGAAGTTTCTAGAGAGCGGAGATAAGCTCTAATTTGAGGATACTGATAAAACTTGTTTGTTTGTGTAGAAAACTTTTGTTTTAGAACAGCATCTGTTTACGTAACAAGCAATAATCGTTATCTTGTCTTATGTTTGATAATATCTTTGTGTATTGGCAGTTACATTTGTAGGTGCTTTATAATCATCCCATGACATTTCTTATGAAGTGCAAAGTATTTAATAACAAAATAATAATCTTAGTATAATAGATTACGTAGACCCTTTTAAACGGTATAAAGTGCGATTCATTTGATTTTTACCCTATTTTTGGAGTTTCGAATCTTTTACACGCTCGGCTCCATAATAGCAATTCTGAATACAATTAATTATTTCCCAATAGTTCCTTTGTACTGATTTCAATGTATAATGAGTCAAACGTCAATATAAAACTTTTACCCATGGGAAGAGTTCAACTACAAATCAAAGTTAAGCGAACCTTGTCAAGCACAAAAGGGCCAAGCAGGCCACGTGATCGGCGCGCGCCTTTAGCCGTGCCGCGCGTGCGCACCGCGCGCATACAATAGTTATTTATGCTGGTCCTTCGAGCCGGATTAACGGTTGATTATGCACGCTCCAGATTCAGGAAACGCTTAACGGGCAGTACGGGCACGGCCGCAACTCGCCATTGTTTGCTTTTGTACGATTTATGCTAGTTACAGGCAGATACTTTAGACTAGAGTATATTGGAGAAGTAAGTCGTTCATGTTTTACTTTTTCGTTTCTAACTATCAACAAATAATATAAACTCCTACACACTTAATGCTTTTGCTGTAAAAAACCTTTTCTCTCCTTTTTTTTTAAAGAACTTTTGTAGTGAAATTTAGTACATGTCAGTCCCATCGTGACTGTAGAATATTAAGTACAAAAAATCACGTAATCTTTCTTATCAAAGTTTTTGCTGTGATTTAAATATACGACATTGACAAAAGCTTCTTTAGAGATGGGCTCTGAAAGAAAGCAATGGAATATCCCAATATTCAGTTTATTGATTTTCAAATCTGCCAAGAATTTTACACTTAGGTCCAGGCTCCTTACACATTCCATCAAAAAATCGCAAAAACCCTAACGTAAAAAAGGTTTAACACAGACTCTGATTTTTTAAGTTCATCACCATATACTTTGACTTATGGTAGAGCTCATGTCAAATAATATACTGGAATGTGTATAGAGTCTGTGCGGAAAGAGAATGGGATTTAGATTGGAGGGCGCTGTAGTGCTTTTCTACCGTATTTGTAAGGTTTTACCCCTTTTAGACATGATTAAATACGAAAAACCGCAAGAAATCACAACAACAAATAAATCCGTATCAATAAAAAACTTTGACGTTTCACAGATTGCTGGGTTTGATTGCCAAATAAAAATCTTAATATTAGTTCCGTTTTTCGCCACGCCCATTCTCTTTTCGCATAGACTCTATTTAGGTGTTCTTTCTTAACAACAATGAATACTTAATTAATTATACATGACTTTTAGACTTTCATTATTTTGAATAATATTTTCGAGTGGATTGATTACATTGTAAGTCAAACTTGGTAACTTTGTTTATATAACAATAACAAATGACAACTAAACCTTATTATATTGCTGTCGTATATCCCATTTTTATTATTCTGGTTAATTCAAATATTTTTGTATAAGCGGTTTCATAGAATATTTTGCAAGTTGTTATTTTAGACATCGTTCGTTTTCAGGAGGTAAGTATCGGAGTATTTTTGTTATTCAAATTCTTTTTTGTGGCATATCCACAGATGATATTTTAATAGCTAAAAAAAAGCCTTTTTAATTTAAGATTCACAATAAATCTTTAAACATCTTCCAGAGAATTACATTATAATAAGTTATGATGATTTTGGTTCTAATTTTAGGTTACCAAATGTCAACCCAAACTAACTCCAAAATTGCTGTCGTTTTCCCCCATGCGATTGCAATCAAGAACTAGTTTGGAATTTATTCGAATAATTTTAGTTGAGCTATTTCGTAGAATCTGAACATTTGTGTTATTCACATGGCTGCTTTTTTAGTAAGTCCAGTATTAAAATATAGTTATCTAATATTTCAAAGTTCACGATGAAACTTAGAATATAAATTTTGTGACAACGAAATGAATTCAAATTGAATATCTCTGATAGATAATATCGGTTTCTAGTTTGTGACGTTTCCTTTAGTACTCAATTATAACAAAGAACTCCTCGCAAGTAAGCAAAATTCAATTAGCATTTTGCCGGAACATTTACAATGAGCGTTCATTTAGCGAATTCCGAATTTCTCAGTAGCTTCTGTAGTGGCAAAAACAAATAATAGCGCTTAAGACTTTAATATTAGTGGCAGTTGAGTATTCGTGCGTTTCTTAGATGGGATGCATCGTCGCATTCTAATTAGCTCAGCAAAGACGAGGGGACGATGCGATGGTGAAGTCAACGACCCTTATTATGGTTTTTACATCATAAAATAATACGCGTATCACAATGTTTCTTCATTCTTGTTAACTACTTCTTAAATAAGTGAATAGTGTTGGTTTTGATTAACCAATATAACTTGGTATGTGATTTAAGAAACAATGTAAGGCAGAAGTATTTCTTACATTGATTTCACATTTTGAGTTTTCTTAAATTTTGATATAATTTTTTTTGATCGATGATCGTTGAAAGATGATCTTTCAACATAATTACGTATAGGAACATATTCTTATTCGTCTAAGTAAAAGTGAGTGAAATATTGAGGATTATTGACAAAGACCTTGGAATCTAATAGCGAGGACATATTTATTCCAGTAAACCGTCATCGACTAGACAGATGATATTAATCTAGATACTCGTGAGACGTCTTTCTACGCAAAGTTAAATGTTTGACATTGAGACGATCTCGTTCTTGTTATACAATTGGAAGGGGCTAACATGTATATTGACCTTATAGAGATATACGAATCCCGCTGTGAACATATTCTGGGGTGTTTATCACCATTCTATTAAAACAGAGCTCGGCGGGTATCCCGTTTATGGGGATATGGTTTATTGTTATAGCTTTGAGGTAAAAACATACAAAACGCAATTAGAATATTGATGTATCTTTAGAATTTCACATGACCAAAACTTGAGAGACGAATAAACTTATCTCTCACAAAATCTGGAATATTAACAAGTCTAAAGGTTAAACTTTGTTGATTCAAGTATTATTAAAAATAGATAAATAATGACTCAAGGATAAGGACAAATGAAGATCTACACATTAACTACAATTAACTTTGGAAGCTAATGAATACCTTTATTAGGCGGTTATTATTATAAAATAAACCATATAAAATTAAAAACTACAATGTGGATAATATATAATGGTGTGTCTGGGATTTTTTCTTCGTATTGGATATTATCAACAGAAACTTGTTTATCTCCGTTGCGTGTTAAGATAACGTAAGTCAACATTCTTACAGCTTTTTTGACATAAACCTCCAACAACGTCACATTGTTATTCAAATAAAGATATAATGGCATAAATGTAAAAAAATAATACCTGTTTCTTCGCTAATTGGAACCATGTCTTCAATATAATCGGTAGTCTTGTATATTGGTAATGTTTTGTTGTTTTAACACTTATAAAAATATCGTCTAAAGTTATGTTTTTGTTTTGTACACTATCATCTATGCTTGTTTTAGTCACTGGTTCGATCGAGAGATCAGACACTTGCACTGTTCCAGGTCGATTTTCTTGGGAGTTGAAACTAACTCCACCTTGGTAAACCAACAAACTGCAGTAGCCTAAAGCAATCAGCACAGCTGCTGCCTTAAACATTTTGCGCCCTCCCATGCCAGAGCTGGGTGGCGCCGGAGCGCCGACAAGCTTTCAGAAGTCTTAACACTTTGTCACACATCTGTTGAACTTTTGTAATCAAAACACTGCTGATAAACAGCGTATGGTATGAGATCGATCGAATATAATGCGCGCGCGACGGCGAGCGAACGGTTACAAACTAAATAAAATGTAGCACGGGCAGGCGGCAAACATACGCCTGCGCGGTCGCTCAGCAGCCCCCACCACGTGGTGTGAGCGAGAGCTCCGATGGCGCCCTTCTTGTTTGACAGCAGGTCCTACCTGCGCGTGCGACGGTCTGCCGCCTGCTGCACCATAGCCGCCAGTGATACTCATGTCAATGGCTCACGTAATTGGTCGCTACAACTTTGAATATGAAAGCAATGCGTTATTGTCATATTCAAAAGTTATAAGTATTCGAGATTTCAAATCAATGAAGACAAATCGTTGTAGAATATGTATTTGTCAATTTTCTTGTAGCATAATTAAAACATCTTAAAGATCGATTGGTTTTAGTGACATGTTTTTTATCATAATAGTTATTGGTTTAAAGGATGTTTTTCCCTAATGCAACCAAAAAAAAATTATGTGCTGAATTTTAGGAAATTAAATCATTTTTAACAAAAAATAAAAAACGTCTACATGAAAACAATATAAATTAAAAGATTTTTCTTATTCTTTATATATATCTACATTTAAAGTTAAATTAACAGTTGAAGTCGGCATATTGATAGATTTAAATTGCCACTTACGTCTTGGGTTGGCATGCATAAATAAAGAACATGCATTATTTCTTACTTATTTTAGTGGTTTTGTTTTTATTAAGTTTGTTTTTATGTTTTGTAAAAAAAGTTTTTATTTTTCATTTTATAAGCCAGGGCAACATCAACTTTCTAAATATAGATGTCTCAACTGGGATCTTGCTTTCATAATTGGTAAAAATTAAATAACCAAACACTTTATGTGTACTGTTCGTATTTGAGGAGTTCCGTTATTTATCTCCGAAAGTATTTATCAGAGCTTCACCAAATTAATATGGGACTATTATGCTAGTACTCTTTCAAAAATAAAGATTCATCAAAATCGGTCAAGAAACCTCGGAGATATGCTCGAACAACAATAAAAAAAAACAAATTTAATAACGAATTGAGAACCTCCTTCTTTTGGAAGTCGGTTAAAAATATCAATAATATTCATCAAAATATTATTTCTCATATAATAATACTTTTGCAAGGTGTTTGCACCCTGGTCTATTATACAAATATGTAATATTTATATCATATACAAAATATGTAATATGAAAACAAACTTAAAAATATTTTGGCGTCTCTGAATGACGCAACGATGTAATGTTAACTTTTCTTTAGATCTAATATGTGCTTATATAATTAGAACGTATGGATTTTACAGAGGAACTTAACATTTTGCCCTACAAATACTTTGAAAGAGATTAATTATTGATCCATAATTGATTACATGCTGGATTAGCCGCTCAAGTGCCTAAGCGAAATATGAAAAGTAATAGGTAGTTACAAGTAAAATAACAGTTTACTAATTTTATTTTTCAGAGGTATAAAATTTACGGTGCACGTTCAAGCTTCGAAGTATCCAAAACAGTCGTATCATTTCACGGATCTTCGATGAACTTGTTTCCAATTAAGCCGAACATTTTTCCTTATTAACCAAAAAGGCGTGATATCTACTTCCCGTCGTCGTCAGTTCAGCGTCGTGTTTCACTTAGTCATCCTCTTAATTTGTTTCCATTGGTGGACAATACACTTTTGTTACCGGACCAACGATGGCCGCTCCGACTTGCGGAGCTCTGCAGCAGTGGGTGGTAATGAAATTAAGAGCCAGTCATTGTTGCATTAAATTCCACTCAAATTAGATAATAAGAGATGAAATTGCCTGCTCGGCCGGATTAATAGCGTTATTTTTAAAGTTGAGCCGAAAGAGAAACTACTTCTCACAAATATTATTCTTGGTAATAGTTGAAGTGAGTTTTCGGTGGAATATTTGGGTTGTGGATATAAATAATCTTGATATAATTATCAAACTCTTCTGTTTAAATTTTAAAATATATTAAATGATTGTTTTGCAGATTTACAAAGTAATCTATTTTTTCAAGAAGGTTTAGATAACGGTTTCTCTTAAATGAGGAACTTTTTCTTGGAATCCATTCAAAATTATAGAAGTAGCAAATAAGCTACTACTACTGACGAGTATATTCTTACTATTTACCGTTGGCACCTTATATTGTTATAATGAAATTTACAATAATTTCCGTTATTAAAATAAAAACAGTTTAAAATGACGATAATAATTAATTATTTCAAGGCTGTGGATTCTTCTCATGACATCGTAACTTCTCTAATGCATTTCAATCGATATTTTCAACGCTTCCCATCATGGCATCGACATTCGGTAGTAAAATTGGTCATGTCTAATCAACTCAAACTGGATCACGTTCAATTTATGCTGCGTGGTTTTTAATTAGATTTTTATATACGTTCTGACCAACCGAAGATATTATAGTTAGCGTATAACGGAATAGTATATCTAGTTTATTGTAATATTCACTTGGTAATAGATATCAATTGCGTTTACCTTTTGAAGTGGTGATAATGTTAAAAATATTATGATTTACCTAATTAGATTTTTTTTTATTCGATACTTTGTACAAAAGGTTAATAATACCTTATAAAATGCGGCGTGGCAGAGTTTCTAAGATACTTTATCTGGTATTTATAAAAATCGTGTGGTTATTTATTTATTTATTTATTTGTGTTATGATAATATAGAGGCAAATACTTAAAATTTGAAATATCCGATTGCTTTTATGTTTACTATGAGAAGACAAATTTGAATTAGTATCCTATTCTTACAACAAAGGTAGAACTACTTATTACGTACGTTTTCTCTATAACTTAAACATGTTTTTTTTAATTTACATCTTTTTCAGAATTCAAAGTTAACCTTGGCAATCAGAAATGTAATGTGTATGTATTTGAGAGATATATAGCTGCTGTTTGTACTTGGAACAATTGCCAAAATCAACAAATCTGGTATTCAATTGGACATAAGTGAAAGCTCAATTAAAACATAACATTATAGTTGCCCCGTTGAGCGCGGTATACACAAAGACAATATCCGCTAAGTATCGTGTACATGGTAGCTAATAATCATATGCTAGTAGCGAGAAAGCTAAACCGTATCTTCTAATTGCGGAAGCATGAAGTAATGGGGATCGCACACGCCAATACACAGACCGTGGGAACAATAAGATGAGGCCGAATGTGTTTTCATATAAATTTTTAAATTCCCCGAACGCTATTGGCTGTTTCAATAGACGTCATAACGTTAGAGCCTGCCTATTGCTTACTAATTCGACACAATAAAGTGGTTTTCGTATAAATCTTAAAACGTTTTTACCTAAATACCTTTGTCGGAGTTTCTCTTTAGGCTTTTGAACACAAGAATGAATCGCGAAAAATATTAAGCACACAAAGCATGAAATTGTTGGTGAAAGCCCTAAAGCTGATAAGTGGTCTTACTTAGTTAAATCAGTTGAGTCTTGTTTAATGTTTCTATTCCTTGAATTCGTATATAAAAGCTTTTTAGAGCACTTTTATATTCTGTTTCTTTTTATTATTTATAAATAGTAATTTATCATTCTTCAAAAAGTTTTTTTTTATTATAGTCTGCATGTATCTCCCAGATTTGTGGGCCGATTTTGATGATTATTATTTTTGATTGATTCAGTTTTTTGGAAAGATGGTTGAATGTATGAAATATTAATTTATTCAAAAGTTCAACAAGAATACCTACATTTATCAAAATCGATTTTAAATAGCGCATCAAAAATATAGGTGATACTCGTACGTACACATTGAATGTTCACTAAACACTTAAATGTGTTTATCTTTCCTGTCGATTTAATGTAATGTATTGTAGGAAGTATAAGCTGGTTCAACACACAAGTCAAAACCTTTCCATAGTTGTTCAGTGGCGCGTGAGCCGAAGCCAACTGATGTGTTTTTATCTGATGTCAGAACATCACATTTAATATCTTCGTTATTATAATTACAGTACCTACTTTGAAATAATAACATTGCTTAATAATCACGCCGAATGCATACTGGTTCGATGAATTGATTCGATTGGACACTCTTGATTGCCATAATAGATAAATAGCCACTTCTCAAGCAAAGATAGTGGTTTTAAAGTAGCTCTTAAACAGAGCATTGTGGTTTATCATAATACAAGAAAAAATAAAGATATATGTAAATAAATGTAACTCTAAGAAATAAAATAATTATCCGAAATAACAATCGAACTAAATACTTTCATCATACCTTTACCCATAGCTTGGGGTATTGTTGTTATAACTATAAAATATATCAATTTATCTTTTAAGGGTACATACGTAATATCTTTGGAATGATGAAGTAAGAAATTACTCTGTGGTGACGAATTGTTCATTGATATTTCATTCGTCACCACAGAGTAATTTCTTACTGTAACAGCGAAAATCCATAGGTAAAAAAAACCCCTAGATGATATTTCAATTAAATCATTATGCAATTACGTTATTCCCAATATAAGCAGAACGTTATGTAGTGCCAGTTGGGATTGTAACTTCCACCTCACCGAAGACCAAAGTTAAATAATACTACCTCTTTTTGTGGTGGTGTTATGTTCCAGTCTATAAGTAAGGTTATATGGCTCCACGGGATAAAGGACAGGCTTAGGGTAAACAATGTGCAAGTTATAATCAGCTATCGCAAGAGTCAATAGGTTGTATGTGGCTAGTCCTAACGGGGTGTCATAACTACACCCGCACTCTTGACACGCATTCGAGGAACCTCGGTGGGTGACCGGTGCTGAAGTATTGTCTGGTTTTGTAGGGACTGGGTAGGGCCCTGTTATTTCATCGAGCACATAAGCTGGATGAAACGACAGGAAGGAAACCTCAGAGCCCTGTTCACCTTTCTCCTGGGTGAGCGAGGGTAGTGGTCACGCATTTTCCAGACATAAAAAAAGATAAAACTAGTTTTAACGGGTTAATGCACGAACTTTATTTATTTAACATAAGAAGGAGATAGAAAGCTTCTCTGAGTTTGTTTCGCCGGTTCTTCTCAGAAAGGTCTCCCAATTTTGGAACCGGTGGTAGTTTACGGTACTTAGTTAGGGTCAAATAAATAAACTCAAAGATACAAAAAAGGATTTTAAGTAAAGTACTTTATTAACTAATAA